ACTAAAATGAAATAATGTAACTAAGTATATTTTTAGCTGACTTTTTTCTAGGTGTATCATTACCTGCATTCAATGGGAATGATTTTTTTTTTAATTGCGGGCACTCTATGTAGGCATGAAAAACCTTCTCATAAAAAATTATCCACCATTCCGGAAGCGGCTTAAACCTATAAGTCAGGTTAAAATCAAGACTCACACCATAAATTTAAGGCAGCGTGGCCAAGCACTTTGTAGAAAAAGCCAAATAAGCATAAGCCGGAAAATATACAAAATTTAGTAAGCTTATAGAAAGAAACTACTAAGTTAGATGCAAATTTATCGCGAAATGAATTATGTAAAACACAATTTATTCTGCCACGCCTGCATGTATACATACGTATTTCACTTATTTAAATATGTAAATCGATTTCGCTCTAACTTCCGAAATTCTATTTTTTTGTTTTTGTTCGTTAGCTAAGGTAATATGTACAACTTGCTTCCTGAATATCCTTGATACGTAAGGCATAACTAGCAGTATGTAGATGGAAAAAGCAATCACCTAACCTTGTCCCTGTGCGCTTGCACACAGCGACGACGTCAACGATATTTGACCTTGCTGCGGCGAGAATAAACAGAATCCCTTTACATTGGCTTGTTCTCCACTCACCTGCTGCTACGGCCAACAAACTAAATAACTGCACAGTGCCAAATCTATTACAGTCAATTTGGCGCACTCAAAAGCTGTCAGCCAACACGCCGTGTCTGCCGACCAAATGAAGTGTGCCAGTAATCGAATCAGTTGTGAGTGTATCAAAAATGCAAAGTAACAAAAATGAGCTGCGAATCGACTTAAATATCTGAAGAAATACGTATGCACGTGCGTGCCATGAGCTTCTTAGTGTGGAACTTTTATGTGTTCTGTGTGTTTTTTGTCGCTTGAATTTGATTGTGCTTGTGTCGAAAGGGGGCTTTACAGCATTAATTTATCAAAGTAACGGCCAAATGGCCAACAATTTCATATATTTGCACTGTTTGGGGTTCCTGTGGGACCGAAAGGAAAAGTTAATACCAAAAAAAAAATGCTTCAATAAACATTTGAATATTATCCATTAAACAAAAGCTCCTGAAGAGAACAGAGTTTGCCGACTGAAAAAGTTTCTATAATTTAGTACCACTTCGACGAAAATTGTTTTTTGTTTTTATTCTAAATACATACTTTGAGCTCTTTGACCGATCTTTACATTTTTTTTTTTTTTATAAAAAAGGGGGGCAATATTTTCTATATAGAGCAATCCAGTGGGTGAGAGCATAAATTTATGACCTTACTTTTACCCCATGCAGTTGTGGACCACCCTAATGCACAAGCTCATGAGCGCACGCATGATTTGAAGTTTACAATTCGTGCTTAAAACTACATAAAATTTCAAAGCGAAGGCTGTGCCAGCCAACGCAAAGGCGAAACGTGCAATCGGCTGGCAGGCAGCCACATCTGTCGGGGCGTATGAGTAACGCAGCCACATGCAGCAAACAATGCGGCTAGTCTTTTACATTTCGCACACTGTCTTCCAAAGGGTCACAACTCAAAATTACACATTTGTCAGAAAATGCGAAAACCTATTTCTTAGCACATGATAATTATATGGGCAAGCGGGACTTTGGCTTCGGTTTTTTTGTTTTTAATTATAACAAAAATTTTCTCCAGCTCTGTTTACATTTTTAGCGCATATTTTCAAATATGCCAAATTTTGAGTTGTGCCTCTTTTGAAAAAGGTGTGAGATAAGTAGTGTTGGAAAGCACTGAGACGAACATATGTGCGCAAAAAGTTAATACGTAGTATGTGTATACATATGTATGTACATATGTATATGTAATGCATATGTACTATGTAGAAGTATCCTAAATATTAGTAAAGTGAAGTTATACATATGATTTCCATACGCATACCCGAAATTGTATAACACATATCTACATACACATATTTATGTACATACATACGATAACAAACTCATGCATATATGCAAGCTTATGTGGCATGCCACAAAATGTTTACTTTGAAAGTATTCCATAGTTTCATTGTGCTTACGACCGATAAGTATTAACAAACATAAGTACTAATGTATGTACGTCCTTTTAAATTTTGACAAATTTGGTAAATATTGCTGTTGTTTACTTTCAACATCATTAAAATTTAATAGTTATGCTTAGTAATGTGCGTGTAGACAATGCATTACTACAACATTTCATTTGATGATGGCAACGAATACTTCTGCAACTTTTTGCCTAAATTTTATATATGTATGTAGGTTTACATTTTTGTAAACTTGAAGAAAACTGCAACTTTAACTTCAGCATTTATCCAACTGCTTTCTAATGCGTTAGTTATTGATTTTGTTCAATACGTTTGAGACTGAATATTTATTAATTAGACATGTGTTTGTAAACACAAGCATAGTGCTGGTATAATGCAATGAAGTAAGTAGCATTTAAGTATATTAAGAATTGTAAATGCTGACTTATGCGGATATGGGAAATTTGATGCAATTCAACATACATAACTCCTATAACGCACCGAATGTACCAATAGATATTGTCATATCGAAAAAATGCTGACTTATTCCCTTTGGTAATTAATCGATTCATTTGGAACTTTTTATTTCATCTCAGAAAGTTATAAAAATTCACAGTTTACAGGCCTCTCCAAGCTCAGTACTTATGCAAATAAAAAGGTTCTCAACCTGGGAATACTACGAGTAGAAATTGTTTGAAATGATATCAGTTGCCTTACTATCAGCTTATATGTTTGGCATTTCACAAATCTAATTCGTATATAACACATTACTAATATTTTGGCGCATACACTGTTGCTAAGTGTTTGGACGAGCCTCTCATACGATCTGCATGTATTTACATCTTGCTGCTGTTACATAAATTTGTATGTATGTGTAGTTTTCGTATAAATCTTTACAATCGGCGGTTCTTATGGTCCATAATTACGAATCAAAAAATCAGATTTTAAAGATTAAAAATGGCGGAGCAAATTTGGTTCTACTATTTATCACGAAAAAAACTTAAAACATAACGTACATGGCGTTTGAGTTACTCAGACGAGATGGGAATGTTACTCATACGCCATGTATGTAGGTATGTATGTTGTTGAGAGACTTATGGCTCCGGAAACGGCTTAGTTTCATTAAATCACTAGGCATGGACGTGGTGTTATGATGAGCTCTGAGGGCACAAAGACCCGAGGTTGCAGTACACTGCCTCTAACAAATCTATCTTGGAATATTAATATTAATTAGCCTTCACAGCTGCCAAAAAGTACTGACTTTTTGAAACTCTATATCTCTTTTCTAACTCTTATCCTATCTTAACGCCTTCCTTCCTCTTTTTCATTAAAATTTACCTTAAATTTATTTCACTGAGCCAAAAGCACAATGGTTTTTTCAACCAAGTTATGGTTTGATTTTTTCATGGTAAAAAAACCGCTTGTAAGAAATGTGATTCAAGTTGAACATTTGGGAATAAATTCGTATGTATGGCAGTGGCTGAACGAGCAGGGGTGCTTGCTTTTATTTGTTGGATTCCAGCTGTTTTTGGTTTTTCTTAATTACGAAAAAGCCTCTGTGAAGTGCAGAACCAAATCAAACTACGAAGAAAATTGGAGTTAAGTTGGCCATTTGAAGACATATTTTTAAAGCGGCTGTAGCTGAGTGTGTAGAGATGCTGGCTGTTATTTGCTAATCCCGCCAGAGGCAACATGTTAAACTGATAATACAACTTTTTGTTTTGTATCTCCGAATTATGAAAAAGCTTCGGTGAAGTGCAGAACATTAACCTATTCAAACGAAAAATCGCCAACCAAAAGTTTGGTTAATGTAAACAAAATTGTGGTTAATATTACCAAATTATTGTTGAAAATATCAACCAAGGCATTGTTAATATTAACCAAAAACCACGTTGATTCCTTTTCAAGTTTGAATTTGGGAATATTAACCAATTTTTGGTTGATTTTTCGGGTTGGCTTTCCCTTATGGCCGTTGGTTAAAGGGGCGGCGGGCCAAAGGTAAGTGGGCGTGGCACCTCTAACCCACCTTTTTGGAGAGGGAATGAACCGCCATTGACAAAAATGCAACCCCCGACCACCTAGGTCCACTATGGTTCCCTAGGGACCTCTTAGAAAAATTGCCAAAAATCACAATTTTTATTTGCGGTTATTCGCTTGAAAAATGTTAAATATTCATTTGCACAATACATTTTTATATACACATTTTTATATACAAGACATTTTTATAAAACACCCAGTAACCAAAATAGACATCACTGGGGCGGCAGCCCCAGGTTTACCACACAGAAAGGGAATTCTAGTTACCTCATCCTTTCCCAAGGTTACATCCCTTTCCCAGTTAGGTCACACAGAAAGAAGAATTCTACGTAGTAAGGGTTATAATCCCTAAGCGCGGCCGTAGGCGGCCTACGCAGAAAGGAATTCTACGCAAAAATACTGTGGATGCAAGTAAAAATTGCGATTTTTGGCCATTTTTCTAAGGGGTCCGTAGGGAACCATAGGGGCCTAGGTGGTCGGGGGTTGCATTTTTGTCAATGGCGGTTCATGCCCTCTCCAAAGAGGTCGGTTGGAGGTGCCACGCTCACTCCCCCTTCGCCCACCGCACCTTTAACGAACTGCCATAATGGAAAGTTTCCCCGATTTTTCTCTCACAATAGCCGGTAAAGAATTATCGGCGAGTGCGCGGAAAATGCTCTCTTACAACCGGCTATACTACATATCTACTTTGCGGAGCTTTTTTTTTTGAAATGAGATTTATTTTTTACACACTCTTTCAACTTTAGTACAGATATTATCAAATTCACTTGTGGAAGAATTCAAATGTAAATGCATATTCCACTAATTCCCAAGAAAATTTCTAGAAATACATTTCCATATATCTCACTAATAACATTTTCTTTCATATTCAATTACAGATCAGACAGTTAAAGCTTCGATATACTTCAGAAATGTGGCTTTGCAAAATGTACATAAATATTCAACTAAAAATTTAAATGTCAACAAAGCACAAATTTTAATTATACGAAAAGCAATAACTACAACAAGGGAAATGTGCATAAAAAATGCTTGTGATGGTCTACAAATAGTAAACAAAAACAAAAAAAGCTGAAATCTGAAAGCAAACAGAAACACCAATTACTAAAAATGGATAATAAAATGTGCAAATATATTAAAAAATTTACAAACTTTATTTATGTATGTACATAAGTGCTAGAGGAACGATGTGAACACAAAATAAAATTTACGAAATATTTGTGTTGTTATTAAATACGCAAGCAAAAACTTTCGTCATATTTCCAACAAATAACTCAAACTAAGCAACCATGTCGTTAACTGTGAAAATTGTGCAATTTCAATTGCCGAAGGCCAAATCTAATTTAATCGCACGCGTCGAATTCCGAGGTAAGTTTCTTAAGTTAAATTTAACACAGTTGAAGCTGTGCTTTAAAATTTTTTCTCTACTTAGTTTCGACGACTGACTTATTGTACTGGCAATTCTGAGAAAAAAATTCCATAACAACATAGCTCTAAAATGGATTTCGAGTCTTCTTATTTTTAATTTTATTTATTAATCCATAACCAATTTATTTTTTAATCGACTTCAATTTAATTAAATTGATGAGATAAGTATTATATTGTTACAAAGTAACTATCAAGCTTATGTACCGTAAGGAAGATTAATTTCCAAAACATTTTTGGAGAGCGTTGCCACCTGTTTAAAAAATTTAATTCAATTAAATTGATAAGGCAAATGAAATGTTGCAATTTGGGCGTTAAAATAAAGTGGTTTAGAAAGCTTAGTTTCGAAAATATTCCTATTTGAAGAATTTAAATCAATTCATATGAGAAGATAAATGAAATATTTAAGTTTGTCTCCAGTTCGAAAAATTTAATTCAATTAATGGCCGTTTTCTTAACTTCAAAAAATTCGTCCAATTGCTCTAAGCAAAATCGACATACATAAATTTTCTTAAAAAAATTTACCAAATATATGTACCTAAAAAAGGAATTGGCTAGGAACCAAAAAATAAAATTTAAAATAAGGAGGCTCGAAATCTATTTTAGAGCTATACTTCCATAAACTTTTTTGTTCAGAATTGACAGTAGAATACTTCAGTTGCCGGAACTAAGTCGGTCATATTCCTTAAGAACAAACGAGATTGCTCCAGAACAAGTAATAATAGAATAGAATACGGCTAACTTTTTCCCTTAAAAGCTCTGCTGTGTATCCATTTGACGTGCCACAGAGGCTCCGTTGGGTCCCACGTTTTTTAGTTGCCATCGGAACTCAAGTACCGGTACCCACAATACGTTAACCCTTTTATGCAAGCTTCATTGGTTCAATAAAGTTTTGAAATTGTCGGTATACGCTCTGAGCAAGTGACTCTTTGAGGAATTTTCTACATTGAAGGGCTGGTTGAAGCATATTTTCGTTAGCATTTTGTCTATATGCAATCTACTGCTTCCCTAATAGCAAACACATCCGCCTGAAAATATGGGATCTAAACATCACTACTAAATACATATATGTATGTAGCAGAGCTGTAAAATGATTGAATCAACATAGTCTGCATTCACTCGGCATTCCTTTCAAAATGTTGATTGTTGGTTTGTATAAATAAAAACTTCATTCCTGAGTGGCTTAAAATATTTGAAAACAAACAAACTGTGTTATGTTGTTGAATGCTAGATTGCCATTCAGTATAGAATGTGAATGTTCAGCAGCATTCGCACTCACACATGATTGTATATTTAGAATGAATGCACACTTTTTTTTCCATTCAGTACCAATAATTTGTTCCCAGGGTTGATATATTTTATACTTTAAAGTTTGAACATATCTGGAATTGAAACAAAAACAAATATTTTATTTCCAAAGCAACTTATCGCAACCGTAGAGCAAAACAGACACATCTTGATATGTATACATATACATCATCGATTGTAGACATTTTTTCGCAGAAGAATATACAAAATTGATTTATCACAATTATTTTTGTATTAAATATTTTTTTCACAGTATACAGTGATCCAGGTAGCCAAAACAAAAAATGTAAACATGCTTATTTGACATTTTGTTTGAATGTATTGGTTGATATTTTTTCACAGTTGTCGTTTTCGTTAACCCAAATGAAATCAAATTTAAATATTTTCTTATAGTGAAAAATATTTTCAAGTCACATAAAATAAAATAACGAGAAACACGAAATTCCAAGCAAATGAAGCGTGAAGCGTTAGCAATTATGACCGGATGCAGTTCCTACATAAGTCAAACCGTGTTCTGAACACAACTTTGAGTGAATAATGGTGGGCTGACTTTGTAAAATGGTCCCATCGATTAGGCGGTAAAAGAAGTATTACTTAGCTTATGGTACAACTCTCCAATTTTCAAATGCACGTAATTTGTGTGTATTTGTTCAGCCGATTATTCACATTTGAAAGAGGATAATGCATGAATTAATGCAAGTAAAGACGGTTTATGCAGATAAGCGAGCGCGTTTGTTAACCGTATAAAATGTATGTACGTATATACACATATATTCAGAATGACGAGATGAACTAGTTCAGCCCTCTCTGTTTGTAAACGCGCTAACTCGAACAAAATTTAGTTATTTTAACAAAAGTCGGTGTCGAAGTTGCCTTTGGTATAATTTAGGTTAGTGTTAAATTTTGTCGAAATCTGCCAATAACCACGCCCACCTCCCACGTAGTAATTAACAATATTTTTGTTTTATTATAATTTGTTTTACGAATTTTGCTGTTCAAATTTACATTTCAAATATATCAACAAACATTTGTAGGTACTTTTGCACCAGTTGTTGCCTATGGGTTAATGACAAAAAAATCCTATATATTCACAACATTTCAAGTATTAGTTTTCAAATAAGCATATTGTCAATGGCTGGTTTGCTGTATACTGTGATTTTTTTCAGTTTTCAAATATGAAAACTTTCAAAACAAAATTTCAGAAGGGTTCCTGTTTTTTTAAAGGGGTTGAGGAGTTCCATTACTTTGAGCAACTTTTTAAATTAACTATTAATTTAAATGTTTCCTAAACATATTTACAACGCAGTTCTGCAAGAGGGTACCATAACTTTTTTTTCAAATAACGTATATTTGGAACAACCAAAATTAATCGATATGGATACATACATTTATGTTCGTATGTACTACTTATGTATGTATATATACATAAAAATGCTCAGAATAAAAAGAAAAGATAATTAGTCCATGTCCGTTTATTTGCGTACACGATAACTCTAGCAAAAGTTGAGATATCTCAACCAAATTCTGTACGAGGGTTTTTTTATCTAGGGCAGCAGGGTATTGAAAATACAAAAGTCGAACAATAACCTGGTCCCTCTCATAAAATGGTAATTTCGAAAAATGCCAAAACTACAATATTTCCTTAATTACAGGAACCAAATTGCTAAAAAACTGCCATGTTTATTATTATAGTTTTGGAAAATGGACATGGGATATATTGCTAGCTTTAAACATCAATTTGCTCAAAACATACGTTTAGAACAGTGTGCAAGCTTCTACCACATGTGTGGTAGATCAACCACGTATTTTTTTTTAAATTTGGGTGTCTACCACATCTACCATACAAGGCTTAAAATCTACCACATTTTTAGACAGAAGATTTGTTTACAATTTTCACATAACTCTAGAATTTCAACTCAATTGTAATTCGAAATATAAAAATTAATCAATAAATTTTTAAAAAGGTACATCATAAATTTTGCTTTAAATATATCTGTGCCTTAACTTTGTAATATTTCAAAAATACGCCTATTTATATTTGCTAAAGTATTATGCAATGGGAAAATAATTTGGTCGATTATTTTGCATACAAATAAAATATTATTTTCTTCATGATTATATTCTCTAACTAGAAAACTAATGTTATACTTGTTTTTGCACCAATTGCGTGGAATCTGTACGATCCACTAGCAATTTTATTTCCCGATTTAATTTTTGAGTTGTGCTTCTTTTGACGACGGTGTGCGATATGTATACCCAATAAAATATGAATTGGAAAATCTACCACATCTTATTCAAATCTACCACATTTTTTTTCGATTCTACCACACTAAAATAAAAAGATTTGTTAAATCTTTTTTTGAGAAAAGTTTATAATTTGCAACTTATTGTAAATGGTAGAAACCACCACACACCCACAAATCAGGTTTTAGAATCTTTATTAAATGCTTGACCCAATAGCGAAGAAAAAAGTACGAAGAAACTTGTATTAAGAATTTTTTAAATAAATAATAAAATGTATATATCTAAAGTTAGAAGTAGAAGCGCTTAAATTTGTTTACTTATTTTAACGTAGATATATAGGTATGTACATATGTAATAATTTCTGCACATACCTTTTATTGGTACATTGGTAATACTTATTTAGAAAGCTGACAATTTTCGAAACAGAGATGTAAAAATCGTTAATAATTAACATTTTTCATAATGACATTCTTGGCAGAAAAATATTTCTCTAATTAATATTTTCATTTATTATAAATATTTATACAAATTTAAGTGAAACAAATTAATGATAACGCTCAATAAACTATTTTTCGTGTTGAAATTTTGAAATCTGTTCAATAAAATTCAACCTTGCGTATTTTTCAGTGGGTTTTGTGTATTTAGAATATTTATATCGATTGATTGGTACTGAATGAATGTGTGCACACATAGCAAAAGCTGCATTCATCTGAATGCTTATTCAGTGTTAAAAGTTAATGTTTCGTCATTCAGTTTTTTCAATCTTTCTTTGAATATGTTAATGTGTGCAATCGTATCTACTTTGAGTGAATGTAGAATTGGAAAATTATAAGCCACATTCCCCAACAAGGAAAAATTCAATGAAAACATAATAACATAAAATTGATGATTTTTAATTTCATATGATTTCACAGTTTTACAGCTCTGGTATGTAGTATTAAAATATTTTTGTTTACCTTTGCCGCATATATGGTTAAAATTAAATTAGACACCATAATTCAACTTTGTTATGAAAGGAAACCCCATAAAGATGAAAGCATAATTTCAGGAATTCTGAATAAAATATTTTTCCGTGTATGAAGACATTTTTTCAACTCCGTCCCAAGGTTAGAAGTCACATGGAATTCAACGTGTTCGCACGTAACCAATTTTATTAAAGTTATGTATATGGAGAAATATGTATGTATGTATGTATGTATATGTGCACATGTATGTGTGCACCTCATGGACGGACGTTAGTCAATATTGTCACATCAAAGTTTATCAATACCTCTTTGTTTGCCTCAGCTTTCACATTCTGATACAATTATTTGTTAGTATAAAATGCCTTCGTAAACATTTTTCGCATACTCAAGCGGATAGTGTGAAAAAAATTCCATAAATACTGACAAAGGATTCATTATGAAAGAGCGTGCAATGCCTGAAATTCCTGAAATACTACAAGGTTGTCGCTGGTTTGGCCAGTTCGTCGTTTATGCTTGTTTATGTCAATATTTACTTAGGATGTGCGACTTATATAACATACTATAGACAAATACATATATATATATATGTATGTAAAACAGCTAAATATGGCCACTACATATAAATAGAGTAACGATTTCTAAGGTCTGGCAATTTGTTTTTCTTAATTTATTTTTGATTTAATTTTAAAAACGAATATACTTCAAAACGAAAACATATCCCAAACTTTGTACAAGATTTTTAAAAAATTCGATAAATTTTCATGGAAATTTCAAACCTTTCACTCAAAGTTTATAGAAAAGTTGTCAAAAAGTCGTGTTCCTATTGATATAGCCACCGTTGTAAATGATAATTGCACTGCAAAGAATGTTTTTTATCGAGTGAATGTTTTAAGTTTCCATTTAATCCGGCCAGAAATTAAATAGGTCTTTAGCAGGGCTCGAAAATAACTCTTAACCGAAAAATCATATTGGTTTTTCTCGGATACTTATCATATTGCGCAGTCACATAAAGGTTTCTCTCAGAGAGATATATGAAGGGGTTAGAGTCAAAAGGATCTAAGTAGATTTAACTTTTTTTTTGTAGATATTTAAGGTTAAAGTTGATTACTTATTTTAAATTCTGGGTAAATGCATTTGAAATGATTCTTGTCTAAATGAATAAAGGTTAATTAACTAATTCAAATAAATACTATACAAATATGGGTATAACTTATATTTTCAATAAATGTCACTTAGACCCTTAAGATTCTAGCCCCTTCATATGTACAAACGCGCTTTATTTCGGTTGCCCTCTAAGATTTATATTTAATTTCAAGAAATAAACCTTCACTGAGTTATACCTTGAGACTTATTTGTAATGGTTACTTGTTTTCGTTTATAAAGGAACAATTTGGAATGAATATTTGGCCACGTTGATTACTAAACTGTAATTAATAGAAATGCCTAAGTTGCGTTACTAAGTTCCAATTCGGAATTTTAATGTGGTTGCGCATGGAGATTTCCAGCAAGTATAGTTTAGAAATGAAAGAGGCTGTTGCTCTCCATTGATGCGTTTTGGAAAAGAGGATTTACTTTTAAATTTTATAACCGCCAATGCCATGCGACATTTTGCACTAAGCTGCACTTAAATTGAACTGTCAGATATAAGCGTTTGGACAAGTGACATGCAACGTCTTTTTGAATTGGTAATAGCATTCAGGCCATGTCATAGGCGTACTCAAAATTTGCGCATACATATGTAGTTATTTATGCTCAGCTGCAAGCATTCAAACGATATTCAAGTTTGATCTAACCTGGCTTATTTACACATCAGTTGCCTGTAAAAAAACGGCAACGGCGCTTTTTTATTTTGATGTTGTTGTCATACTCATTCACTGCAGCACTTGGCGCTATTGGCATTACAGCTACTGCAGCTGTCGCGTGCTTAACTAAAAACAGTTAAAAATGTGAAAGCCAACAACAAAAAGGCGCTGGCTATGGATGCGTGGGAAAATTGCAACTATGCTGAGGGAGTATCAGTAGCGACATCGTGGGACTGCGTAAGCATATACACAAACATAAGTGAAGCAAAGTAAAAACGAGAATATATTTTTTGTATGTATTTTCTTCCTTCAGCTTTCAAATGAATTTTAAATATTCCTGCATTTTCTATCCCCTACTTGTTGTGTGTGTCATGCAGCAAAGTAAAGGGGCAGCTGGCGCTTTGTAGATACGCTCTACGATGTGCGCTTTTTACATTTTTTTAAATATTTTTTTATTTACCTTCACTGCTCTCCGTGCCATATATGCACGTATGCAAGTAGTGCAGTGCGTTTTGAGCCACGCAAAATACGGGAAACGTAAAATTGAATGTAAACATTTGTATTGCGGCTGCTATAATATAATTCTTAACTTATTTGCAGTGTCATGTCAATGGGGATATGGTTTTAATGAAATTCCGCAATCTGTTAAAGATTCCAAAATGGGGATCGCATGAGAATTGGCTCAATTTACTACGTACAATAAACTGTTTTGAGTAGATTACGGTAAATGGGGGTGATAAGTGTGCCACTTTGCAATTTGTGCGCAGAAACACTTATGTATGTGAGTAGGTTGACTGAGGTTTATTATCTGCGAGCAGGGAGTTATTTGGAGTGGAAAGATTATCATTTCACTTTAGAAGTTTTGAGATTACTGAGTTTGTTACTACGTCAAGAATGTGTTCTGCACTAAATATGAAGATGCAGGTTGGTTGCAAGGTCGAGTAGCGAGTCGGCATGCTCGCGGTCCCAGGCATAGTTCATCGGGTGGGGTGGGTCTTTCGCTCTCGCCTTACTAGCGCTACCTTAACAAAAAAGTTGAAGTTCACATGCTGCGCTAAGAAATAGGGAAATATTATTAATTAAGAGCCTACTTGCAGACCACATTCTTACAAGGTGACATGCGAACGGCTGAAAGTGACTTTTGTTGCCTTACATTTTTGGGAATGAAATTTTTCAACGACCTAAATGCAGACGAAACCTATTTTCATGGCATCAGAAATAGTTCACAGTATTTTTTAGTAGAGTAGATGTAATGGATACAACTAGATATATAATGTATTATTAAAAATTTACACAAATTACTCACTTTCACAATTAAAAGTTGTTTAAAGAGTAAAGAAAATCAACTAAAATATTTTTGAGTTTCGGTGAGATTATAAAATGACTCCGGAACCAGAGTTGGCACTAATCGACTGATTTTTTAATCAATTAGTTAATTCGGTTAAATTCAATCCTATTACGGTTAACCATGATTAATTTTAATGTGGTTAAACAGCTAATCGTAACCGCGATTAAAAAATTTATTTTTAATCATTAACCATTAATTTGATTAGTAGGTTTGGTGATTAATTAATTTATGCTGGAATTTTCCTGTGCACACAAGGCCAGTTAATTGAGTATGGCTAAGTCCGTTTTCCTTATCAATCTAAGCAAATTTGGGTGCGATTTCGTTAAAAATCTATTCCAACAGACGTTATGTAAACTAGGTTTTAATATCCCTTTGCACATGTGCGATGGGTTGTAAAAATTCCCTGTTTATGTATTACGAAAAAAATAAAATTATAATTATTATATAACTAAAATAATAATTGTTATTTTTTTATATATTATGTACTTTTTTATAAGCGTGAAACACAAAAGAATCACTATAACTCTTTTGTTTGGTTTCAAATTCGGACAAACTAGACCACTTAATCAGAATTTCCTTTTAATTGAAGTAACGATTAATGATTAAAATTAATTAATCTTAATCACAACCGACGATTAATATAAAAAAATGTGATCATTAATCGTAAGGATGATTATGATTAATTAATTTTAATCGTTAACCGCGATTAACATTTTAATCGTTAATTTTGAATCCCTAATCAGATTAACATTTTGCCAACACTGCCTGAACACTGCCGCACGCCACAGCAGAATGTAGGACATACAAAAACTTTTTGAGTTGGTGCTTTTTGGATATGTAATTTTTATGTTAATCAATTACGGTTTTCTGGAAATCCGGGAATGAATTTTGTCCACCTAGTTTGTTCCACAAGACATACTGTACAGTTAGAGGAGCGCACTATCATGTCCGAGGTTCGATCTTCGGTCCGAGCGACAGAAACAAAGCTCCAAGAGCGGTCCGCCTTCAGCAGGCACTGGCAAACCTCCGAGTGTATTTCTGCCATGAAAAAAAACTTCTCATTAAAACCATTTGCCGTTCAGTGGTGGCGTAAAACCTTAGGTCCCTCCTTTTTGAGTGACAACATTAAGACGCACACCACAAGTCGGAGGAGAAGATCCGCAGCAGCAAAGTTAATCAACTGCTCAGCTTCGTTGACTCTTCGAAATGTTTAAAAGAATTTCGAAATTATTTGCCTAAATAATACTAAATATTTTTTAGAGCTTGCGAAATTTTATTTAAATTTCCAAATTAATATTTCCATACTTTTAGCAAAAAGCCCCTTTCGTGGTTTAGTTATAGGTCGATATATGCTTTCTCAGGCAAGATTAAATTCGCAAGTGGATCAAGCATTTAGTAGCTTATTTTCTATAAAATTCCAACTTTTACTTGATTTATTAAATATCGTTTCGTATTTCCTTTTTTCAGGTGTTGCCCATATAACATCAGAACTCAATGCTGATTGCAACATTATTGATGTTAATCAGGTGAGTAAAAGCATTATAAAGCTAATTCATTCGCCATTTGAACACTAATCACAGTACATACTTGAATGCATTATTTATCTGCAAAAATAAAAAAAAATTATATAACAATATTCAATCACAACGAAAATTTAATTTGTATGGTTTTATGCTTTTGTAACCATATTTGAAAATTATAAACTTAAATACTACAACAGCCCACAATTTGTCCTCAATAAATTTTGTATTAAGTAACTCCATATAAGTACCACAATTCAATATTCGAAACATTTGTATTTACTTGAACATAAATATTTTGCAATTTTCTGCCAAGAAGTGCCATGTAATTTATGTTCTTCCACAAATACACACAATGACCACAAATTTCAGAAGAAAATGTTTGTACATATGTATTTCTCCACGAACTACAATCAAATTCCCAGAAATGTTTTCCAAGTTAAACAGTAAGAAAAAATTAAACAATGCCAAAAGTACCAAAAACGAAAGTCCGAAATAAATCAAAGAAAAGTCAGAGGCTAGCGGTCAAATCAATGAAGACCTTCGGGAAGATGTGTTATTATTTTTCGCTTTTTTCTCTTGTTTGCGTGTAGCAGCGGCCAGTGAATAACTGTTTCCTCCAGCAATACACTGGCCTTGCTTGTTGAGTGAGTTTAAGCTTACGCTAGGAGGAACACAGCGCAGAGTAAGGCGGTGTACAATATTTCCAAGGAATTGAAATTTGTAAGTATTTTATTTAGAATTTCTCACAAATTCCGCAACTTAACGGAAAAAAATAAATCCGAAAAAACAAAATTTAAGGATATTAGACATTGGTGTCTAAAGTCTTTAAGATGTTATTTTTAAAAAATTTGTTTGGATTAGGTTAGGAATCAGCACTTGAAATTCGATGGTAAGGTGGAAGACAACTCTTCCTCCCCTAAAAATTTCGTTTAGGTGTCAGTTCGTTTCTTGTTAGGTAAACTTTGGCTATGAAGACCTTTTTTACTGCTGTGGTGTACTCGTAACTCCTCCTCTGTTGCGAGTTATCCGTCTCGCTGATCCGCATTTTCGACCGTGTCTAGCCATCTCATCGGCTATTACGTTCCCTTCGATATTGCCATTTCCAAGAACCCTGCAGAGAGTAATGCTTTCGTGACTTAGTTATGTCAATTCTTTACTACCCTGGATCTTATCCGTTTAAACTTGAGCTTCGAAAAAGCAGAGCTGAGTTTACATGAGTCAGAACCCGCACCAAACCGAGAGTTGTGGCTAATGAGCTGGAAAAGTTTCCTACACTGTTCAGCGTTCGCTGCACCGACTAAAAACCCGTTTGTCAACAAGAAATCCGCAGGTTTCCATCGGTACCCAGATTGCCTTCCTTTCTTTGCTGATGGCTTCTATGGTTCCTTGCCTGGCCAGTTCTTCGCCCCTGCAATTTTCTGCAATTTCGCTGTGCCCTGGAATCCAAATCAGTCTGATGCAATAGAGAGAGAGAGATCAGCAGCCGGATTCTAATATTTGCTATCGCTAATTGTGATCGCCAAAAGTTTTCAAAGAAAAACAAGCGCCCCTAGCAACATGCAACAACTAGTTACATGCCCCCCATACTGCCAGATCTAGCTGTTTGTACATTGCATGTCTTACGCTTATATATTGTATAATTTTAGAACCAACTGCTTTTCATTTAGAGAATTTCAGCCACAAAAATTAAGCATAGCGATTGTCAGAATTCCACTGCAGGTAATCTCAGACCAATTCTGACCCTACCAGAGAACTCTGATCGCTGCTTAGTCATCACTTTACATAGATTTTTACCTCGTTAAACGGTATTACATAACTGCGCAACTGGTCGACTGCTTCTTTATTAACAGCTACCTCTGATTGGAATACGCTACAGAAATCCGGTTAGCTAAATTTAATATCTAAGAGTAGTTCCCCACAGAAGCTATCTCATACAGTTCTGCCGTCAACCTTCGACTCATCTGTGGAAATATTCAGCGACCGTTTGCTACCCCTTCCCACGCATTCCCTGTTGTTGTTGTAGAAAATATTTTTTCCTAGAACTCCTTTTTCATCTTTGAGCCATCGTTGATTATGGTAATACCTTCATCGATAGGCCAGCGTCTGATTCTCCTCTAGCTGGAAATCGTTTGATAATCTCGAAACGGGAGCTAAGCCGTTCCCTTTAAGTTCACTCAAGGTATCTACGTGCGAATATTCGGCCTAGTTCCACAATTTTAAGCCCCCTTAATCTAACTAAGGCTGCCTTTAAATGAAAAGCCATTATCAGCCTTCCTTGGGGTGCACTTATCACCGCTAGACACTCTTCGGTTTATTTTCTGATTGCTAAATGACGTGCTTTTCCCAAAGTTCTTTTTGTAGGGAGAGTGCGCTGCTGGGCCTTTGCTCTTTCCGCAACGTTACGCCTTCGGGGAAATTTGGAGGTAGGAATAATAGTTAAGTGTTTGGCCTCGGCTGCAAGGTTCAGCTTAGTCCCATCCAGCCCAAGAATGATAGAATACAAGATTGCGCCGATCAGAGAGGATTTTTGAGAATAACTTTTGTGTGACGTCACACTGGTGCAATTGCGAGAGAGAAATGCCAAAACGTGAGCAAGAATGGAAGAAGAAGAAAAAATGTTGCAAGGAAAACGTAAACAAGTTGCACAAGTGTGACGTCATGCAAACCACGATTCTGTCAAATTCGTTAAGAGAGGAATAGCGGTCCGAGATCGGCGCAACCTTTGTATTCTCTCAATCGTGCATCCAGCCTAGGATCTTTGTTGCCATAGCGAACAAGACAGGTTTAGTTTAGAAAGCTTAACTCCTATACCATCCTTATACCATTGCGCACTTAGAAGCACTAACAAGTCACGATTACTTCAGCTCACTTACTCCACTTACTATTGGCAATAATTTGCCTGGAATCAATATATGTATGTAGTCTTGTCATCAGCTTAGGAGGCAACTACCTTTACTCTCCTTACCTCAAAGCTGCGATGATTACTCTTTTCCTGAGCATCGGGTCGACCCATGCCACTACAAATTGTTCGATGCCGCGTCTCTCCAGCGCTCTACTGATTACTTCTGCCAGTTAAGTTATATTTCCTATATTCCAGTGACTTTTCAACGGTACTGACCTCCTCATGGATAACGCTGGCAATCGATGTGTGCTTTCGGTATGCGTGCTGTGCTTTGTTCGTTTCGAGGATACAACATCTCTCCCTTGTACGAACATACTATATTATTGTATACACACATATGTAAGTCAATTAGTCTCTTTAGTGCCTTTAAGATAAACGATGAAAGGCTCATTGGCTTAAAACCTTTTTAAAATGAGTGACCTAACAACAAAACAAAATCAAAATTTACTTAAATAATCAATGCACACACATAGATAAAGTTTATTTTAAAATATTTAGCATCACCCATTTCTTTAATTCCAGAAGACGTAAAGTAGCCATATAATTTTCTTTCTCCTCCGCTTTATAGTTTCGCATCCTTGGTATTAGCACACGTGCAAAAATAACCGGCAGCACATACTGAGTTAATTTAATAATACATCAATAACTTCGATTGATTTTTTTTTGCTTGTGATAGAAATTGTAAACGAAATTGAATTGCTTCCTTGCAGTGAGATCAAGTGTACTTGTGTGGCTATATAATGTTACGCACAAGTCTAGGTGGGTGGGTCACTAAAACTGAGTGAATGTTGAGTTATTTAATTTTTTTGTTGATATTTTCGGTGTATGTAGATGTGACAAGACTAAATCCCACCATGCAAAACATGAGAAATAGGCAATAATCGTCAATGGCAACAAATTGGTGTCTCACCGATATATTGCCGTGGTGACAAATCGGCAACATCGTTTTTTCATGTCAATTTGGCAATAAATAAGTTATCAAAAATCCCCAAACTTTCGCGTTACAGATATTATCCAAAGGCCTCTAATTTATACCAAAGACAGGATTGAAAATATAGGAATCCTCATAGCGAAAGAAAGAATTAGTTCCATTTCTAAGCTCCAATTTTGCATAAAAAAATAAATTAAGTACTAACAAGAATACAATTATTCCAAATATCGCCTGCGGCAATAATAAAGCGATCAGAAAACGATTCATTCTGGTAATAAGAAAACGACTCGCCCCGGTGAGTTGCCTTCTGCGGACGTTTTAGAGCGACTGGTAATAAGAAATCGATACGACGCACCGTGTATATCACCTATAAACATTTTAAATACAAAATGTGTAGGGTGTTATTGAATGCTACATTGAGGGAAAAAATTTTATAATAAAAAAAAACCGTGCTAAATTTAAAAAATACGCATATGAAAGAGCACCAACCCAACTCGTAATAAATTTGAGCATATACATTTTAATATGTGTCGTTGTGCACTTCACTATTGCTTCTTCGTAAATAAAAAAATCTCAAATTTTATGTTCCGTCTGATAGGAAGTGAACCCGGACACTTTTGGCAGCAGCAACCAATTGTGTCAAGCATCTTTGCACAGTCAGCTACTGCCATACTTGTCAATGTGTTTTCAAATGTTGAGTTTGAATCAAAATAACATCAAGCGATTAGTGCATTTATGCAGATAAAAATGTACTATGTATGTGTGTATGTATGTGTTGACATACACTTTCTTAATTATGAAACAGCATTCGTGAAGTGCAAAATACTTCATTTTAATATAGGCGTATTTGAAATGAGTATTTCCATTATACGTACGCTACTTTTAAGCACTTTTCACCTGTTTTAAATACGTTTTTATTTGATTTTACTACTTTTTCTGTAAACATTTTTAAATGATAATCAAATAAAAAACATTAATTTTTTCTACGCGTATTTTCCCTCAGTGTAGGGAAAAATTACAAAGTGAATGCAACAACCTGCGCAAGCATATTGATTGAAAATGTTGGTTGAATGAAAACACCTTTGATCATTCAGTACTACACTGAAAAAATATGCCTTGACAATAGAAGAAAATCTATTAAATTGTAACGTCAGATTTAACATCAATGATTGAAATCGGTTTGTTTTTGTGGAGCTGTTTAATAAATCTGCGTTGGGAGCTTTTAGGTGCGTCTTGTGTCTGAGGGGTCCGGAATTAAAAAAAAATATTTATATGGACTATGTAGGAGGTCTAGACACACTGTATTCCCCGCAGTACACCCTGGTATTAAACGTAGAAAAGCTGAACTGTAACCATTATTATCACTTGAATGCATTTGTACCCAATCAAAGTAAAAAACAAAATGCAAGTCCTTTTTTTTTTATATAATACGAGTACCTTTAGCTTCGTTAATACCCTCAAGCACACAAAAGCTTCATTCAAGCATAAATACTGAATTTCGTACATGTATTTATTTGCAGATATTCTTTAGAGTATTTCATAATTTTTTTTTATTTATGTATTTTTCTTTCACTTTACAGTCTTTCATTTGGCCATTGGCACGGCCGGCCACCGATGAGGAGCCACTTACAGTCGAGTTGCGTACACAAACCACAAAGACTCTGCTGCGTACTGGACTCAGTCATGCCTCGGGCGGTCTGATGGGCGGCGGTGGGAGTAGTGGCAGCGGTGGCAGTATGAGCGGCATCATCAGCAGCAGTAGCAAATGTGTTGGTCAATATATTGTGTTGATGCAAGGTAAGCGGGATTTAAGAATAAAAAAAATCAATTGTAGGGAAATTTTATAAAATAATGTATGTATGTATGTACATAGAGGCAAAAGCACTATTACATAAAATTTATTTTCTACACCCTGCGCTTTTACCACCTACAGCGCCAATAATTCTCATCCTGAGTACTTTCATTGCATAGTCAGTAAAGCATTTCGTTTGCGATAAACTTGTCGACGATTTAATGCAATTTTGTGTGCATGTTTTGCTAAGCTGGCATTTAATTAATGTTTAAGAGCTTGTTAATTACTTCTACTATAAATTCTACTGATCGACCAACAAAGCTATGCACACTGCACTTTATACGAGTATATATGTAGGTATATACAATTTCAGTGTGCGTGTGAGTTTGTAATTTTTTACTAAGTATGTATCTAACTGCTTGAGCGATTTTGAGGAAATTGATTTCTTATGCTATGGTGCAACTAAAATGAGTATAAAATATAGTTTTACCTTGGTTCCATTTTATCCTTCTCGGCAGAAGTAAACTAAATAGGAAGTTATGGGGATATTCTCGCCAAAATTGAATTACCAGGTGACGATCGAAATTATTTGTTTGTAGAATTTTTATTTACATGTAAGCCAGTCCATGTCAAATCGACCAGTATGGTTGGAAAAGACCATTTTTGATTTGCATGAATTTTTATCAGAACTAAAAAATTTCGAAAAAGATTTTCGAAAGTTCGAAACAGAGACCGCAAAAGTTATAAGCGACATTGAAAAAATCAACATTTAATCCTTATATTTTGATTTTTATCTTTTTCATCAAATTTGAGAATTATTTCATGAATTCTAAGTTTGCTCGTAAAATAATACTGACTGATTTGCTGAGTTTTATTTTTCCTTCAATAAATAACACTTATGAAATGAGTGTTTTTCAAGTTAATTAAAAAAAAAAAATTGTTTTCATGCTTTAATTAAAACCATTTACATGCATCAATCACACTTGCAAACTTAATACAAACCTTAGACAAATGCAGCAAATTTCCATTAAAATTTTAAATTTTTGTAGGAAAATAAAACACAAGTTTCTTATCTTGAATTCTTGGGTATGCAGTTACATGCCTCATGAAATTTTAGTAAAATTAGTGCAAGTTTTAAAAGCGGTCTTTTGATATTTAAACTTTTTTTTTTTGCAAACGGTCTCTCGCATTTTCTTCAATTTCTTGTTTGTATGAAAAAAACCATCAGCAAAAAAGTATCAAAAATCTAAAATCGCGTAAAATTTGCACTTATTTTAAATGCTAAAATTTCATGAGCTATATAATTGCATATTCAAGCATTCAGGTTAAAAAGTGCAAAATTTTGATGGAAATTTGTCTAATTTTTCTAGAGTCTGTATTAAGTTTAAAAATTTCAATTAATTTTATTATTTTGATTACATCATCAAAATTTTTTTCATAAAAAATTACAAACAAATTAACTTGAAAAACATTGCAAATATTTAAAATAAAATCACCACGCACTCAGATTTGATCGCCAGTGCAACTTTGTTTTGTTAAGCGAATAAGCAATTTTTTTGGTGAATACATTAAGGTTTATTTGTGCCCCGAAAAAATACCCCTTTTTCTTTCTCAGTTGTACCCCAAGTCCGCCAATTTGTTCGTATCTGTATCCCTTTCGGCATTTTAGGTCTGGCAATCCTACTTCTACCGCGGGAATTGATGCAGGGAATATGATTTTCCTGCTTGTGAATTGGGAAAAGTTTACTAAGATTCCCCAGGCTAAATTGCGCTTAGGAGCTGGTTCATGTGCCCAACCGGTTCGTAGTACCAAAATTTGTGCGTTGTCTTAAATGTACTACCTTGTGATATTCATTCCTAAACACATTTTCCTTAACTCTTTAAATTACTCTTATTCTGACTCAGATTTGTATCTCTCAACCTAATTACGGTTACGGAAGCTCTGAATTTATTTACAGAGAAGTGCCGGAAGTTGTTTTCCAAAAAGTTTTTTTCTAAAGCCATATTGAAATGCTCCAACCGGAAGGATATACAAATTTATCTCCTGCTTAAGTAGCATCAACTGGCCTACATACATACATACGTAGTGATATTTAAACTGCATCTTCCAAGTATTCACACTTCAATAAAACGGCATATTTTAAGAGCAAAGCGTAAGAAATGAAAAAAAAAAACATTGAAATACATTCTGAAGTCTCTAAAAAATTTAGAATAGCACATAATTAGGCAACGTAAATTATCTTTTAAGCGGAAGCGCGCCACTTGCAACCACACTTTCACATAAAAACGCTACCCACGCGTACGCACACACACACACACACACACACATAAACACACAATCCTTGCCACTCAAAGCCCTTGATGTGAGCCATGTGCTGCTAGGGACAAGGTCAATGAAAAACGCAATGGCAAAAGCAACAGCTACATGCTATGCAACAACAACTATTCTAAGCCGGCGCTTTTCGACAACTTCAGCAAATGATTTGTTGTTGTTAGTGCTTTCCTGTTTATAAATACCTTTGCTTTGCCAAAAAACATATTTATTTGTCATTGCAGCAACAAATTTGAGTACGTCCTTGTCACGCACACCTACAAGGAATTTATTATTGTGAATGTAGGTTTATAAGTTTATACATACATATGTATATACAAGATGTAGGTCAAGAGCAAACTGGTGTGCAGCTAAAGCAACCGGCACTGCAAAGTTATGGAGATTGGGGTGGAAGTGCAACGGGATGTGAGTTATTATGCTATGTACGAGTAGAATCATTGCATTTTATGAACTAGAAGTGTGGTCTGCTAAACTATGATAACCGTTTAAGCCGCTGATAATGATTGAAACATGTATTTTATTTGGTTTGTCGTTAATGTTTTTTTTTTTTGTAAAGCTCATTAAGTCTGTTCACTAGAGTGTAATTACAGTACTTGTTTTGAATAATTGATAGCAGATTGAAAAGGCACGCAAAGTGTAACTAAGCTTTTGAGACATATTTCAATGTTTTTAGATTAAAATCGTGTCGCTGTGAAATGTACTACATATATGTAGGTGCACACGCGGAAAAAGTAATTTTTCAACAAATACTGCGGTTTTGCATATACACGTAAATATTTACATTTATTTGGTCACCACAACAAACCTGTTAATTGACAGTCTCGGCCGTAGGTGTGCATAGAGTGGGAATTAGATATATGTATGTATATAACGGAATAGTCCATTAGATTGCGGTAGCATTTTATTGTGTACACAGAGAAATTTACGTTTTCAATTTTGTATGGAACGTTTTATTTTTAAAAACGTTTTGACCCAGGTATTGCATCTACAATATTTATTTCAGTTTTCAAAATAACCATTTTCAATTCATCATCTAAAGCTTATACATATATTGTTTTTTAATACGCACATTTTCAAGTCGCTTTATAAAACGAGCGTTTGGCAATTGAAAATTTAAAGAGATTTTAAAATGTTTTTTTTTTGGAAATTTTTGTTTTTTTTATTTTAAGAGGGCTTCCTTTTTATTTAGTGGTTGACAATTTGGCATTCTGCATTTTTTATTTTGAATGAAGTAAAATTTAAAAAAAAAATTGTTTTACTATTTTTTTTTTTTTTTGAATACGCGCATCTTACCTGTTTAATTTTCTCAGTGTAATTAATTAGTTGATAAACATTTGGAAAACTAATAACAAAATTAGCTCAGCTCCTTGGGGTATATGCATTAGCAAAGAAATGTATCTGTAATATTTCAACAAAAAGGCAATTAATTTTCTGAAATTCCTTGGGTGACCTAAGGTAATTACGAGAGCAACATAATAATAATAATGTAATTAACTAAAATGTTGCAGATATTTAGTATCTAATAATAAAATTATAATATTTTTCCGCTTACACTTTTGTTAAGCGTTTGACCGAGCTTCTCCGTCAATTTGTGGTGTGCGCCTTGATGTTGTCACACAAAGGGGAGGGACCTACAGTTTTACTTCGACTCCGACCGGCGACGATACTAGCAGCTTACCCATAACGGAATTTATATCAAATATTTACCTGTTAATTTTATTATTTAATTGTACAAATTTTCTGTTTGAATGGCGCTGTAACCGGATTGTAACCGATTCCGTAAAATCAACCCAAATCCTTTTCAATGACTCCGCCATCCTTTACTGCCGAAATGCATGCCGCATTGAAATCTATTAGAGCAGGAGCGTTTGTTATATTTCCTCTTATCTTCTTCTTTAGTAGCGCTGTAACCGCCTAAGCGATTTTGGCCGAGTCCAAAATAGCTCACCAGTCATTTCTCTTTTGTGCCATCTGACGCCAAGTGAACGCAAGTTCAGTCTTTCACATAACACTAGATAAGTCCTTGTAACCTATGCTTAGAAGGCTGATCCCGCGATAGTTGGCTGGTAGGGCGGGCTTGCCTTTCTTGTGGATTGGGCAGAGCACACTTAAATTTCAGTCGTCGGGCATGCGTTCAACTGACCATATTCTGCATAAGAGTTGATGCCTGCACTTTACCAACTCCTCGCAACCGTATGTGAATAGCTCGGCTGTCAGGCTGTCAGCTCTAGTAGCTTTGCTGTTTTTCAGCCGCGTTATTGCTATTCGTACCGCGTTATAATTCCTACTAAACTTATGGGAATTCCGCCCATCGGTATAAGCAATAATTCGTTATGTATAGCCTATAGGAAGAAACACTCTGGTGTAGGTTTTCATTAGATTTTATAAGGAACCTTTTTATATTTAAAGGCGTACTTTATTTTAAAAAAATATAAACTGTCCTTTAGAATAAAAGACGGATGGTCACCGTATACATGCGTCACTCACTTTCTTTTTGACTGCTTTAGCTACGCGTTCAAATAATTAAAAGCCAACTTTTTTTTTAATTAATCAAAGTCTAAAATCATTCCGTATATTCTTGCGTTTATTCGCATATTCCAGCTGACTTCCATCAGAATTGCGTTTTAATGTAGTACATGTGTATGTACATATATGTATATGTTTTTGCGTATA